TTTTTTTTTTTTTTTTTGCTTGGGGCGTCAGAAATGCTGGAGCCAGCCCTGGCTGCCATTAATATAAGCTCTAGAGTAGATGGATGTAGGCATTTTTACAATTGTGTCATTACTGCACTAAGAGATGGACTGAGATTACCAACTCATTTCGATCCACCCAAAAATTCATCAGATGGTAGAATCTTTTAACAGCTATGATTGCAGTTCTCTTGTTTGTTTGTTTGTTTGTTCTTTCCTACCTAATGTCTCAACAGATCCTGAGAGGTGCTGAGCAGTATTCGAAATTAAGATAATCCATGGCAGGTGCTCAGCGCCCTACTCTCTATTGGTTGATGAGTGCTCTGTTGACCTTTTTGTCTTCTTGCATCTGTAGTGAACTCAAGTGCACGGCACACCAGGATTCCTTGCAGGATCCAAAACCTATGCACATTCTTACTGGCTTAATCAGGTCAACAGGTGAGGCAAGGTTCTTTAGGAGCTTCCATCCATTTCACTACTTGTACTTATAGTCCTGCCACCAGTAAAGATCTATAACATCTAACAAACACCGCATTTTAAATGAGCATGTCCATGTAACCACTCATCTCTGACAGCTGCAATTAACCTCTAGTCTGCATGCTTTTTTCTTTTTTATTTGGCTCACTGATTATTAACCCATTGCTTCAGAACTTTACAGGTTCCTTCCTCCTTCCAGTTGTGTTCTGAAACACAACCTTACAAACACGTGTCTTCCCCCCACCCCACCCCCTGGATTTTCTAATGCTTTCAACACCGTTGGCCATACACTTTTTCTCTGACCTTACAGTTTCCTTCTCTGCCTCCCACAGCCTATACTCCTTTAACTAATTTTCTTTGTGGTCTTGCCCACCACTGAGAGAACTTGGCCCCTTAGGCATCTTTTAAGTTTTTCCCACAACAGCCAAGAGGAAGGAGCTGATGATTTATTAAGATCTAGCGAACCATTAATTTGTTCAATGAATTCCTTTGCCTCTCAGCAATCTTTTATCAAACCACTTCTGCTTTATTTTCTGGACAACTACCTGTTTCTGAAAGTACCTGCAAATTATCAAATGAGCTGATATCTGCTGGAAGCAAAAAAACTCAGTTAACTACTAGTTTAAAAGCAGTGGAGTGCCTGTGATTGATTATCAGAGTTTAGATCTGGAGTAGCTATGGATAGGAAGGATAATAGTTCCTGGGGTGAATGCCATGAGACTTTATATATAGAAGGCAACAAATTGAATAGGAGATATTGGACCAAGTGCTCTGCTTGTGTGAGTAGATGCAGCTCTATATTTTACAGTAGAGTTTTGTCCATTTACACTAGTAGGGAATTGGCCTATTGTCTCTTGGAGCTGCACCTTGATGAAAACACTATTTCTGTTTCCCCATGAGAATAAAATGTTTTAACAATAGGGTCCAATGATTACAGATTTTTAATAATTTATCAGGGTAACGTTTTTTAAAATGTATGTGTCTCAGAACTGTGAGTCAGGAAGTATGGATTCTGCTTCTGGCTTTGCCATGGACTCCTTGTTTAACTTAGGGCCAGTCATTGTTTTTCTATGTGCCTCAGTTTCTCCTTCCATAAAATGAGAATAACAATACTTGCCTTGCTGGAAATCGAATGTATTAGTATTTATTAAGAATTTTGACTTTCTGAGGAGCTATAAAAACTTCATAACAGTATGATGATGCTTGTACCAGCTGAGACAGGACTATCATGTATTTCATCAGACTCCTAAATGGGTGATACTTTCCTAATCCCACACAGTTTAGAAAGACCTGGTAGAAATGGAGGTAGTGCTTGTGAGAGTAGTGGATATTTGTACAGTACCTAGCACTATGGGGTCCTGGTCCATGCTGGGGCTTCTGGGTCTACCACAATACAAAGAATAATAATAATGTGTTGCTTTCAAACATACTCCTCTCACTCTCCACCACATCCCTATCTACTTGTTCACAGAGAGAGACTCAGCCCCATGGCTGGAGTGCAATGTGAGTAGCCTTTTCTTGGCCAAGCAAGAAAGTAGGTGGGGGTCAGAAAGAGATTGCAACAATCGAGCCCTTTGAGATTACAGGTCTGTCGCATTTTATGCTGGGTTTACGTTCTGCAGTCAGCGCGTAAAGTGAAAATTGCATGTAGTCAAGATTACATTGAGGAATCGCCCGCACTACAGGTACAGTATTAAAATTGTTATTTTTCTCTTTTTGTTTTTTTTTTGCCGACCACGTAAAGCTGAAATCACGCATGTTAAATGCGCGTAAGATGCGGCAGACCTGTACTCTGGGTTGGAGCAAGGAGAAAGGGTCCCCAAAATAAGAGTTTCAGGATTGTGGGGGCTTCTGGGGAAGGGCTGGGCAGTGTTCCTGACAGACGCTTTCCTGGCTGGCTTATAGAAATTCTTTTGACCACTTGTGGTATCCTCCATATGTTCCCCACTTTAATACATTGGCCCTACTTACAAAAATCTTAGCTAAAAGTTCCCCTAACTATCGCTGATCCCATATAGAAGACCATTATCAGAAATAATGATTATGGTGCTTTAAATTTACATTGTGCTTTAAAGAAAAAGAAACTGGCAATCTATGGCCCTGACCCTACAACTGAATCAGCGTGGGCCGACCACTGAAAAGCCACATTAAAGTAAGCGGGGCTCAGCACAAATGCCAGGGGTTCACCCATATGGATCCAATTATAGGACTGGGGCTTAAGGTAGATAAGACAACACATAGGAATATAGAATCCAGTTTCACTTGGGACACTAGAAGCTTAACCAAACCAGCCCTTGGTGAAGGGAAGGGGCATCTTGCACCATTGCTCATCTGCAAAAAACCACGATGGGGCAGATTCAGCCCTAGAATAAATGGATGCAATTCTATTGAAACTAATGGACTTGTGTACAGAGGAAAGCTGAATTTGTCCCACTGTCTTTCAAGTCCATGTGGATGCTCTGTCACAACACAGACCACAAACCCCTACACATTTAATCTTTACCTCTTACTTTAGCTTTGCAAGTCATATAATGTGTTAGTATCCCTCTTTATTATGCTACCTATTTTTAATACAGTGGTGTTCTTGTTTTAAAGTGTAACAGTGACTTTTACAACCTGTCCATCTTTAGGAATAGCTAGAACTCTCTGAGTTCTAAATGTCTCAGGCAGTTTGGAAATGACATTTATAAGGCAGTCACTTTTATAATATCTGTCCTTGTCTAAATTAGAAAAATTACACCAGTTTAACTAAAGCAATTTCAAATTAGAGCAAACCTATAGTGTAGATACACTTAAACTGCTATAACCTTTGCTTAAATTTGTTAATTTACCCTTGCTAACCTAAACCATTTTAAGTGAGATTTGAATCATCTTAAGAGTGTCTACTTTTGGGATTTGCTCCACTTTAACCAACAAGACCTACTTTAATTCAATTTAACTAAATCAATCCAACATTTCTAATATAGAAAAGTTCTCTCTCCTTCTCTAAACCAGAAACACCTGTTGGGATATCTCAAATGATAAAGCTTCTGCTTTGATGTACTCTTTTCTTTCTCATTATCATAATTGTGGCTGTTTTTAACTGGATGTGTGTCAAGTTCTCTAAGTGCTGTGACTGGACAGTGTAAATGTAATGGAAGAGAACATACTTCTTGTTGTAAAACATCCCTTTAACTTGCTTGTGCTCTTACAAGCTTTACTTCAGAACTTATGCCCCCTGTATTTATGACTGCTAAGAGGCGTTGCATCATGAAGGGGACTGCATTGTAAATCATTATTATGCTGCTAACAGACAGTGCCTTTCTTACCAATAATTATGGTTGTGCCTGGAGTTGAGAAGGTTATTCTGGGGCAATAAATTGTGCTGTAGGGTATCTTTCATTCTTTCTGCATGGTATTCCTGAATAGGAAATTGGTGTTCTTAACAGCTGAACCTCAGCAGTCTCCAAGGCTTTACAGCTCAAGTCACAGAATCTGCTATGCGGAGAGTGATATTTTGTTTTCACTTTTGTGATAGGAAATTCGAAAGGGGGATTGAGGGGAGCTTGCTCTCCATATTAGAAATGCATAAATGTTTGAGGATATTACTGGAGCTTTAAATCTAATAAAAGAAGTTAACGCAGTATATGCAGCTCTGGAGATTCTGAAGAGCTTTTCTATAGTGCGTTATATAGCACCTTACATTGGACACAGCATTGTTGCACGTTCTGAAATCTGTTAACAAAGACAGTGTTAGGAAGGAGTCCGGATGGCTGAGGGGACTGTTAATGGGAAACAGACCATTTCACCTGTAGGGTTTTGGTTGAAATTTAAACCTTGAGCCCAATCCTGCAGCTCACATGAGCAGTCCCACAAAAGTCAATGGGTCAGCTTGTGTGAGTGAGGACCACTTGTGTGGGGTTTTTATGATTGGACTTTACTTCAGTAGAAATTAAAATCACAGCCGTCTGCTGGCTGTTGAGTGACCTACGTGAAATTTGGTGGCTTCAGTTCTAATAGTCAGTGTCCACATTACAAAAGCTGCCGTCATCATGAGCACCAGTTGACACTCTGGTTGGCAGCAAGGAAGCATCCAAAGATTGAAATAACCATAGAGACTGAATTGCCCTTTCTCTCTTAGTGATGAGCCATCTGAGTCAAGGTGAGGTGTGTAAGCTTGCATGGTCACTGCTTTTTATATGTATTGCTTTTTAAAAAATGTACTTGTGCCACAGTTGTGATCTAGGGACCCCTTGGTGCCAACTGGCAGAGGGCGCAGTGGTTTTACTGGGATTCCTTGGGTTGGATATATGCATAATGATTCACTAAAGGGACAAGTGAGGTCTCTAGCCACTGGTCATCATAATCATTGCAAAATATATGTACAGATAATATTTAAGAAATTATGTACCTATACTGAAAATGATGTTCTTATGGCAGGTAACCAGGAGATGACGTGTCTCATTTCCTCTCAGAAAGTGGGTGACAGACAATTATCTCCCTGTCTGGTCAATGTGTATTGTGTGCCAGGAAAAGCAACCAGCAGGGGGGCATCCTGTGTATGAATAAGGGCAATGGATTGTTCCGATGTATCTCGGGGTGGAAACAGACACCCTGGATCTTTCACCTGGGAGGCACGCTAACAGCATGACTTGTCTCATGAACAGAAGATCACAGCCAACCCTGGCTGTGAAATGTTGGAAGGACTTTGTGTGATCATTGTTCTATTAGACATGGAAGTATGTAGTAAGTCTAGGTGCCAGAATGCATGTGATTAATGTAGCCATTTGTTTCCAATACATCTACTTGCTATCACTTGAATCTCTGCACTCTATTAAATAAACTTACACTTGATTTCACTATAAACAGATCTAAGTGCTGTGTGTGCCAAGTGGAGCAGTGATCTGAGGTGGAAGTGGTAAGCAGGGAAGTGCCATTTCTTTGGAAGCAGTGAATCTGTGAATGCTGCAAGTGTCCAGTGGACCAAGGCCTGGATGCTCAGGAGGGCTTGGGTGTTGGAGTGTGCTTATTGCTCACCAGTAGAGTGACAGTGGGGCCTGTGCAGAGCTCTTGGGGAGTGCTTGTGTTGTCAGTGGCTGGTGGAGTCAGGAATCTCCTGCCTCATGCTAAGGTCAGTGAGGTGCCTCACAACCCTGGTGTGGTGGTGTGGGGGGGGG